CTACACGCACCCACACACGCAAAAACATGCGCACACACACACACACACACACACACACACACACACACACACACATACACACACATGAAAAATGGAAAAAGAAAACTCCATGAAATCATGCCCCATGATACCTTGTTTAAATCTAGTGGCATTCATAAGAAAAAAACTGATGTCCTTATACAACCAACGGAGAGAAAATAAGTAATGAATAGCAATTATATGACAAAGGAAACCTAACATAATGGTCATGAACTTGAGTGAGACTAAACAACCAGCCTGGATCCAGACATAAATGACCATCAGCTTGCTGCCCACAGCACCTTCCTAATGTCTTAAGTCAGGACATTCATTCCTTCTTTTCCTAGCCCACCCCTTTAAGACAAGCATCCATCAAAACTCATGCCAAAATGGGGTATCCCAGGTCATTCTTGGCTTTGGCTTTCCTGGATGCTTTTGTTTGGTTTCATGTTTAAGTGAAGTTCTTAAAGTGTGTATAATTTAATCTAGAAGATGGGGTCAGGCTTGGTGTGTAATTATTTGCTGTCAGGTAAATTCCTCTTACAATGCCTCCTTCAACAGTCTTAGTAGGCCTCCATAGGAACTGAATGCAGCCGCTGTACCACAGAGTATTATTTCAAACCTGTCCCATGCATTTATAAATACCTCGTCACTTTTTTTTTCAATCCATGGAACTTCTTTTCTTTCATAAGTGATGGCTAATTCCTCTTGTGATGAATCTAAATTCAAGTTATTCTGAGAAAGATTAGAAGACAGATATTTGTTAAAAACTCATCCAATTCTTCTCTCACCTTACTTCATGTAACGTCATTGAATCCCTTCACACCTGTCATATTTAAAAAATAACACCAGACATGTGTCTGCCTAAGATGTAAGCTTAATTCCAGCATGTCTGCCATCACAGAAATTTTTTTAAAAAGGTTCTAAAGCCTAGTAATATAGCATCACATGTAATAAGAGCACTTGATGTTGCTTAAAATTAATGGCTACTTTGCAAGTGACTGGGAAAGTAGCTGAGAAAAACAGAAGTGATGACAGATTGAAACACGGCCAAATCACTCCTTGCTCGGCCCAGCAATGCAGACCACGGTTCCTGCCCATCCAGGCCTGCCTTGCCATCTGTGCTCTGCATCTTACTTCTTGTCTCCTCTTTGGGGTTTTTATGCACTCTACTGAATAGTTTCCAGCTCTTCTTTGTGGCTAATGATGTGGGAAACTTCTCGGTGTCTCAACCTTAGGGCTGCTGCGACCTTGCTGGCCGCCCCACACTCTCTTATGCTTCCTGCACTTTCTCCTGCCTTTCTAGAAGCAGCTCTCTCCTGGTCCCTTCTCCCCATTCATTCTCGCATCATGGCCTTCCTTAGTTTTTTCTTAAATAAGATTTTATTGAATTTTGTGGATGTCATACATCTTAAATCATATTTAGCCCCTCCACCCAAGTCTGCACCACCCCCACAGCCTGCCCACAGGACTTCACACATTTTGTCATACATATATGTTAAGGCCTATTTTGTTGTGTACCCAGCTGTTTCTTGGTGTGAGTTTTTGGATTGGAACTTGTTCAGCCTGTCTAGCATCACTCCCTTAAAGATCGACTCTCCCTCACCCAACTGTGATCAGCTGCTAATCGTTGCCAAAGTTGTGGCCTCCTGCCCATTTCCCCAATTCTATGCAACTCTATCGTTTTCGTCTGAGTTTACGTGGATCTTGTGCATGCTGTCACTATTGCTGTAAGTTCATATAAACAACGTCCCACAAGTCTGTAATGCTGTTTCCTTATGATCGTGCACCTCCTCCCCTGGCTCTGGCTCTTATAGTCGATTGCTTTAAAGTCAATTTCTTAAACCTCTTCTTTGGATGCTGAGTCCCCAGTGTCCATCCTAGCCCCATGCAGGCAGCCATCTTCTACACAGCTGTTCAAAGAAAAAAGCCTACAAGTCATCGTCTTCCTCTCCCTCTATTCCCATCTCTTGGTGAGTCCTACCAGTTCTGCCTCTGAAACCAACCTGGAACCCATTACTTGTGCCCTCCATAGCAACCCCCAATGCCATAACCTCTCAAGGAGCCTCCCTGCTCCCACTCTGTCACCTACAGGAAATGCTCTCCGTGGAGCTGCAAGTGATGACTACAAAACTGAAAACGAGGTCTTGTCAGTCCTTTGCTTTAACAGGTTCTCATCATATGCAAAATAAAACCCAGACTCTGTTTCATCGCTGGTCTCTTTTCCACTGTGAGGACGACTTCCTCCTTGCTCGCTCCACCTGGACAGGCCTTCTGCACCTTCACATGTCACATGCCAAGCTTTTTGCTCCTTGGCCTGAGTCCTCTTGCCTCTGCCCATCTCTTTGCAAATAGGCACGCTCTTTTAATTCAGATCTTAGCTTATGGAAAGGCGATCCCAACAAACAATATTATATCAGCTTGTTCTCATTCCATGAATAGGATTTGTCACTATTAAATCTTTTCTTGTCATTTATTTATCTATCTGTCTGTTACTACCATTAGCATGGAACACCATGAAAGCAGAAATTTTTCTCTCTTGTTCATGGTTCCATCTATCCCAGACTAACACTTCGTAGGTTTCTAATAAGTATTTGCTGAATTAGTGAATAAATGTTGTTTTGTAACCAGACACTTCCTTAATCATGAATGTGATAAGAAAATGAGAGACTGTTTTCACCAATGATTGATATTGGTAGATGCTTTTTTTCTGAGCAAGCCCACATCTTATACTATGGTTTAAATGAGATTTAAGATGTAATATTTGTGACCACTTTAAGAAAAGCTGAATGTTTTCTCTAAGACATAGTTCTATTTTAGAAATCACAGGACACCTGGAAAAGGCGAAATAAAATTAAATATGTGCTTAAAGAAAACTATAAACCGAAAACTTCTATGTGCTTTATAAAGAAAGAGCAAGAAAGGATGATAGCTACATTGGATTCAGTGGGGTGTTGTTCAGCTTCCCGTCCCATTTCCGGGGACTGTCTTAATATAGTTAAATAATCATTCTCTCTTCTGGAAGTGCTGCTTATCACCGATAATAGCTGCTGGCAATAGTCAAGGATGTCATTTGCTAAGTTTGATCCAAGTTGCCTATATTAATAAAAAGAAAAAAAACACATATACAGTCACAAGAAAATATCACATTTAGTAGTATTATTTCCAGGTAATTATACAAAGAAGTATGGGCTAATTCTCCACCATGCCCTTTAGTTATTAGGTCTTGACTTCTCAGAAGCTCATGATCTTTCTTGGGTGATCTCTCTTCATGTTGCCTTGTACCCTCACCCAGCATGGCCTTTGGCCACCACACGGAAAAGCTACTTCTCCAACTGAGCCTCAAGAATGTACCATGCTGTGAAACACTGCACTGCTTCACACACATGAGCTCATTATTACATTTAGCCCCTATGGTCCACTTCAAAGGGTTACTTCTATCCAATACAACAGGGCATCGTGAACTTGAGGCACAGGTTAACATAACTGGGAGATGCTGGGAAAACACATTCCTAGGCTTATCTGTAGACATTCTGATGCAGGCAGAATGGATGGCCCCAGATAAGCACATGCAACAAGTTCACAGAAGCTCCAGACCCCAACCTTGAGGAATATTGGTACAGATAGCTTAGTGGTATTGTCAGAAGCGTAAGGTCACAAGCTCATAAGTCCTTGATCAAGGTTTCAAACATAACTATGTTTAAAGTGGAGTTCAGGTAACTACCGATGGTTGAACGTATCTTTACTTCTATAAATAGGGCTCTTGCCCTTGTTTGCTGTTGCCTGAGATGCTATTTGTTCTCTGACTGTAAGGGTATGTATGTTAGGACTAATTTAATAAGGCACAAGTTTATATTTTACTCAGGATTCCATGTATAAAATGGGCATGATGATGCAGTCTTCAAACAAGTCCTCGAAATAAGTGGTTATCTGAATTATTATGATACAAAATTTCCACAGTATTGAAAATTTTCTCCATGTCACCAAGAAAGGCTATGTTTCATTGTTGTTTTAATATTACTGCTGTCAGAATATAAGTGATGTGCAGCAGCAGATTGAGCAAGACAGCTTTTAAGAGGCAAGAGCGATGGCTCATCAGTTAAGAGTACTGACTGCTCTTGCAAAGGACCTAGATTCAGATCCCAGCACCCACATGGCTGCTAACAACCACCTGTAACTCCAGTTGCAGGGGATCCAATGTCTTCATCTGGCCTCCACAGGCATTGCATGCATAGGTATGCTTACATGCATTCAGGCAAAACATTCACACGTATAAAATATAAAAAAAAATCTTTTAAAAGACATTTCAAGTCCAGGCTGTCTTTTGTGTGTCACCTTGCCAACCACCCCTCCCAGGACTGAATATTACCTTGAGGGGTGTGGGGGGCTCTCACACTCAGGATCATGAGTTCTCTGCCTTAGCAGCCCCAGAGCCAAGTCCTAGACAGGGGTAATCTCTATGCCTGGAACTTGATGATCTTATACAACCCAGCCCATTCTAGCCTGCCCAATCCTTTCATTGGAAACCATGGCTCCTGCCCCTGTTTCTTTCCACTCCCCCAGCTTCCTCATCTACCCTGGTGCTTCCTGTGGTTCCCAAAGTCTGATATGGCCCCTCCTCTTGGATCTGTGAGTATAACAGTTTATCTTCTCAATAGCAGCTGTCTCTTGATATGTTGGCCTTAAATACCAATAAATTCTATATTTTAAAACACTGTATACATGACATTTTTTACTGTGCACTGTACATACTTCCATTTTAGGTGGACAAGGGTGCCATCATCTGTGCCATTCACCAGAATGTTCTGTCCATCCATGGAAATTTTCACAGACTGAATCCCATGCCCCTGGTGAGAATGACTCCTACACCGCACAAATGATTCCTTAATAGTTTTAGGAACAAAGTAGAGAAATTATAGATGCAATTCTACAACATGACTTTTCTAACATGGTTACATGCACTTTTGTTTGTGGGTAACTCCTACTTGCTAATAGCTTTTTTGTTATGGAAATAGTTCTTGATAATGCACAACAATTAAAATCTCTAGTTCAAACCAGTATTGATTTGTTTTCCCACTACTTTGTGTAGTGTGGAAGGAGAGGGAGTATAGCACTGGCTTAAACCAGGAGACAGGGCACAGAGAAGTCAGTGCACCTGCTGAAGTCTGGGGAGTTAGGGGAGGGACTTTAAGTGAGCAAAATTCAAAAGCCCTTAGGAATCGGACAGGGTCCATTATGTGCAAAGCAGCTGAGTGTGAGAAGAGGTAACAGGAAGCTTGGAGAGGGAAGATAACATGCCTTGGGGAAGCTAATTAAACCAAGTAAGCAAGCCAAACAAGACATCACTGATGCGACAGTTTAAACTGACTGCTTTCACTCTGGTATTTAAGACTGCTGTCTTTCCATTCACCTTTTTGAATAGACAATACATTTAGATAGCTCAAGATTTAAGAACTCCCAAAGAGCCTGCCTTGAAATCTTTTCTGTTCCCATGCCCTAATTGTTCCTTCAAAAGCAATGAATGTAGCTAGTACCACTAGTAACCTTCAGAAAATTTTGTATATATGTAAATTTTATGCAAATATATTTTTTACATAACTTGTACCAAATGTATATTGTGTACCTTGCTCTTCCACTTAGCAATTCACATATCTTGGAGTTCTTTCCACATTGTTATATACGGAGCTCCCTATTTTGTATCACAGATGTACAATATTCCATGTTTTTTATGTGTTGATTCTGTACCATAGTGTATTTATTTACCTAGTCCTCTGTGCATGAAAAACCAGGTTATTTTTACAATGTTTCCATGAACAGCTTCATCTATGAGATGCTATGCATAGGTAATAGAACCATCCAGAACAGCTCTGATGCCTTGCCATGTTGGGCTACTATCAGCTGCACTGTACTGCAGACATTGCAGCATAGTTTGTAAATCATTCACTTTCTAGATGGGGGTCAGGGGAGGGGGGATAAGTGCTTACTGTGGGAGCCTGATGAGCCAAGTTCAAATCCTCAGACACATGTAAAGGCCAGATAGGGCAGCATATAGTTCATGGGCCAGATAGCCTGGCATACACAGGTGCCAAGACTGTCTCAACAAAGGTAGAACGATGAGGACTAACACGCTAAGGCTGTCCTCTTACCTCCATGCAAGCAGGTGCTATGGCACATGTGGGTCCACAGCATGTACACTCAAACATGCAGACTCACACACAAAGAAAAAAGAACCCCAATCTTTAAAAGATTCACACTTTTCCTATAGAACAATATTACATTTGTCCAAAGACACGTTCTTCTAGATGAAACTAAAGGAATTGGCATATGGTCACTAGGCACCAGGTATGGGGGGGCACATGAGAGTGTCATATGGGTGGTGTGATGCTTCAGGTATGTGTGTGGAGAGTAGAAAATTGGGTGAGAATCACTGACCAAATTTAATAGTACAGATAACCAGTGTAGACACACGGCTAGTTGATGAGGGAGCTGGCCTGGAGCTCATCCTCAGTGCCCTGCCCAGTGCTCTATTTGCTTCTCTCGCTCTACTGAGTGGGATTTCTTCCTCTAGAGAGTCAAACCAGTGACAAAAATGTTAAAATCATTAATGTTACCAGTGAGTTTTTTTTTTAAGTTGGGTCAATTTACTTAAGGAAGTTCTGAGTTCTTTTCTACAGGTTTTTGTTCCTTCTCTGAAATCTGTATACATGCTCCATATGTTTAAAATTTTTTATTACTTTTAAAATTTATGTATATGTGTGGGGGAGAGTATGTACATGTGAGTGCAGATGTGTGTGGGGGCCAGAGGTGTTGGATCTCCCTGGAGCTGGAGTTGGAGGCATTTGTGAACCACCCAGGGTGGCTGCTGGGAACTGAACTTTGGTTATCTGCAAGCACTTTTAAGGCCATCTCTGCAGGCCTTGTCCCATACATTTTTTTGTTGTTGTTAAAAAAGGAGCTTACTGGGGCTAGAGGGATAGCTCAGTGGTTAAGAGCACTGACTGCTCTTGCAGAGGACCCTGGTTCAATTCCCGGCACCCATATGGCAGCTGTGAACCGTCCTTAACTCCAGTTCCAGGGGAATCCGAAGTCCTCTTCTGACCTCCATGGCATTGCACGACATGGGTGTACTCACATACATGCAGGCAATACACGCATACACATAAAATAAAAATAAATTTTAAAAAAGGACCTTACCAAAGTGTAAATATCTCGGATACAGAGAAATCCACATTTAGCTACTGTCAGGAGCCATAAGCCATGTGAAGACATGTAGAGCATCCCAGGTCCATACTGTTTGCTTTGCACCTTTTGGTGTGGCTTAAGTATACAAGCACCAACATGGTCCTGCCAATCAAAGCAAAGAACCACATTATGGAGATCAGGCCAGCAGCAACTTGGGGTATGCAGATGCGTGTTATGATGTGGTCAGACTGAAATCTGAAAATGCTGTTCTTTGAAATGAACCAGTACGGGATAGAGGGAACACCGGGTAGCACATCTATATCAAATAAAAGCTGGTGTTGGCCAGCCAAGGTATAGCTTTTTAAAAATTTTTTAAAGTCAACGTTGGGATGAAACTCAGGGCTCTGCACACGATGAGCAAATACTCTTATTACTAACCTACGACGCAGCCCAGGAATGGCTTCTGTATGTGTCATCCTACCATTAAGGACCCCAGCCTACACTGACAATCTTTGTTTTTAGTAATCATTTTCCTCTATCCTCATGCCCGAATCAAATAAAAATAGAAGCTGTCACTATCTTCCCTTCCTGTCTCAACCATTCCTACCTCCAACCCTCAGCCCTGTCCTTACTTTTGTCTGAAATATCTGCTCAGCTCCACCCCCTTCAGCCCTGCTTCCCCTCCCTCCAACAGCACTCTGCCCTTCAGACTGACTGCGCACATTATTTTTCCGAGTCTAAGTATGACCTGTCCTTCAAAGTCCAGTTCAAACACTGCTCCTTCTGTGACACTTCTCAGGAATCCCCCTTCCCACAAATTAGCTTTTCTTTTTCTTAATTTCTATGTCTAACACCAGCTACTCTGGGAGATAAGCATTAGGGAAGCATGGTGGTAGATTCTCTCCCGGGGATCTGAAGATGGTATTCAGTGGGATACTGAGTGGCCAGGGGATAGCAAGAAGGGTGACACTGGACAGGTGTGTGCAGCAGGCGGAGCATGCTACGGAAGATGTTTGAGGAGTGAGGTCATGAAGCATGTCAGAAACGTGGTTTAATTATTTTGTGCAATTTTACTTAGGGCCCAGGTGCAAAGTTCCACTGAAAATCATCTATCCCATAGCCACTGGCATCTACGGAACAAATTTAATACTCAATTGCTTTAAAGGCACTGAACTATGCCTTTTGCATGTTTATCGGACAAGTACAATGTATATGGCATAAGTGTGAGATTATTCAAATGTATTTCAAGACAGATTAACCAGGAACGCTAGTGCTTCTAATTGAAGGGAATTGTGTCAATATGGTAAAGCCATTTGCTAACTGAATTGTCTTGCTATGGCAGTCAAGAGGGTCATGTATAATTAATACAATGTCAATCCTGATCACGCTTAAGGTTGGCATACTTTTTCAGGAATAATATAGCTACAGATGTAAGGCACTTGACTGCAGAAGCCATATATTCGGTTGTGTTGAAAGTCCAGGACGGCAGAGGACAGCATGTGCTCCATCTCATACAGGAACTTACGAATTAATTCATCTCTCAGTCTTCCTCTTTCATCGCAAAATGCTTCAGAAACTGTGAGATTAGGGGAAGAAGAAAGAGCTCTTGTACCTGAGATTTTACTTCTTAAAATCATTATGAACTGTTATGAAATGCAAAATAAAAATTTTAGACACTTGGTTAATATTGTAGAGGCCCTGCTGTGATAAAAATAATGTTAAAACAACTAATAACTATTAATAAAGTTATCTCAATTAGAGAAACTTGCCAGGCATGGTGGCATACACCTTTAATCCCAGCACTTGGGAGGCAGACAGGTGGATCTCTGTGAAATTGAGGCCATCCTGGTCTACTTAACAAGTTCCAGGCCAGCTGGGGCTACAGGGAGGCTCCGTCTCGACCCGCCCTCCAACACCAAAAATCAATTAGATAAACTTAAGACTTACAGTAAATAAACTGTATTTTGTAGGTTTTAATTTCATAAATTTACTTAAAGATATATTATTAAAATAAATTTGTGATATCAAAATTCAATTTTTTAACTTTTTGACACAGGTGTACTTCGTAGCTCAGGCTGGCCTTGAATTTGCAGTGATCCTCTTGCCTCAGCCTCCCAAGTGCTTTGATTACAGAGATGAGCCACCATCGCTGGCTAAAGATTTTTAATCGAAACATAAAAGTATTGGGGCTAGAGAGATGGCTCAGTGGTTGAGAGCACTGACTGCTCTTGCAGAGGATCTGGGTTCAAGTCCCAGCACCCACATGGCAGCTACAAACCATCCTTAACTCCAGTTCCAGGGGAATCCAAAGCCCTCTTCTGACCTCCGTGTCATTGCACGACACGGGTGCACTCACATGCAGGCAATGCACTCATACACATAAAATAAAAATAAAATATTTTTTAAAAGTATTTTGAGGTTTACTCTTATATTCTATAATTCTATATTTGCAAAATTGCTAGCCAGATAAATTTGTGATTTGAGACAAAAAGAATATCTGTTTTCTCATGCCTTTTACTCCAATAAGCTTGCTTTATAATTTTATCAGTGATGGCAACTACACTATAAATGACCTGAATTTACTGTGTGCTTAAAAGTACAAAACAAGAGCCATCACAGAAATGACAGATCAATTTGGCATGGTTATTGATCCTATTTCTTTTCTCTCAAAACAACAAAAATTTTGATTCGCAAATCCAAGTTTCAAATTGCTTAGCAGTCATGCAGGTATTAATTTGTAAAAATGTACCAAGGATATTTAACCTCTTCACATCTAAGAGAAATAAGGGCTATCATCCAAAGAAAACCAAACCAAAGCAGGAAATAATCATAGCAACAACTCATCTGAGCCAAGGACAGGCAGGGCTGCTTGGTTTTCTTTACCTTGTAGTAGCGCTTTGGGCAGGGTAAAGTACTCCAGTCTGCTTCTTCCTGTTTCCACAAGAGGGGAAAGCACCAGCACTTCCACGATTTCTGCTTCCGGGCAACACGATGTGGAAATCTGCAGAATGTCTTTGTTTGCCTCTGAAAGACATGGAAATTGACACCACAAGTGGGCATGGCATGCTTCTGCCATTCTAAATATCAGAAGAGACACTATATTTTTTCCAATTCTTAACAGTTTCTTTTGTTAATTAATTCGGTGGTTGTTATCTGGAGTGACACACATATCAAGCTGTATTTTGGTGTCTCAACATGGAGACACTATTCTTCATTCAATCCCTAGTAGCAAAAATTATTTGCTGATTTTTAAAGTGACCTTTAAACATAAGTGATGGGACATTTTTGATGAACTGATGGGTTTTTCTTTTCCTGATTAGATGTGTGAATAGGCAGATTCCAGCCAGCTGGGTGTGACCCCACTTCTTTCCCAAAAGGGGTCCCTTCCAGAATCTGCCAGGATTGTACACAGCATGCTGGCCAGTCCCTGGCTCTTATACTGGGTGTCCTGGTTTGTTTCTCCATTGCTGTGACAAAACACTCTGACCAATACCAACTTGGGGAGGAAAGGGTTTATTTTATCTTACATCTCCCAGGTCACAGTTCATCAAGGAGTCCAAGGTAGGAACTCAGGGCAGGAACCTGGAGGCAGGAGCTGGAGCACAGGCCATGGAGGAACCCTGCTTACTAGCTTGCTCCTCTATCCCCGCCCCCCCCGGGGGGGGGCCAATCTGCTTTCTTATATAACATAGGCCCACCTGTTCATGGGTGGCACCACCCACAGTGGGCTGGGTCCTCCCACATCACTCAACAATCAAGAAGATGCCCCACAGACATGGCCACAGGCCAGTCCAATGGAGGCAATTTCCCAATTGGGGCTCCCTCAACCCAGGTGGGTCAAGTTGACACTAAAGCTATCCAGCACACTGGGTGAACTAAGGCATCAATGTTCTTTGTATCTGTGGTTAAGAGATTACAGATGTGGTTGAAATATACCTGCCTCTTGGGAAATCTAGCTCATCTGACCTTAGCAAATGGTGCTATACTTGGAGCCTGGAACGAGTCCATTCCACATGTACCCCTCACTTGACACTGCATGATACTACTGCTTTCTTAGCCCCCCCCCAAAGGAATCAGAGCCCCGCCCCCAAAGGAATCAGAGCTTGCCTTCCACCTTTATTAACCATGGAGATCGGGACATCGCACAGAAACTCAGTCTCAATGTCCTTGTCCTGAATTTCACTGTTTCCTCCTCTCCCCTCCCCTCCCCTCCCTTTTCCTCTCCTCTCATCCCCTCCCATCCTATCTTCTCTTCTACTTTTTTCTTTTCTTTTCTATTTGTTTCCATCCTCCCCCTGCATTTTCTGGCATTGATGTGATTCAGGGGTCATCTCAGGTCCCATCTGTGATTTGAGCCCATTCTGACAATGCGCCATTAATTACCACTTTTCATCTTCTGATATCTCTTTGGCTCATCTTCTTCCCGCAAGAGGTCCTAATCCTCAGCTAGGGACCTTACTTCAACTTTCCTCGCCCTTGACAGTTATCGGATATCTCTTTCCTTCTCCGCAAATTTTCTGAAGTTGTCTTGCCACATTCTGACTTCATTTTCTCATCTTAATTCCCTCCATGACCTCTGTCTTTCAGGGAACATCTGCTGATTGGCAAACTGGAGAGCCGCCCGAGCCTGCCCCAGTCGCACTTTGGTCACTATCTGAACTTGAACTCTGGCTTGTCCTCTGCAAGCTCTTTCTGGAGGGGATGATCCAGGTCCCTCACTACTTGGAACACCCTTGGTTTTCTTCAGTGTTTCTTATTCCTCTGCCCATGGCTTCAGTGAGAAATGTGGACTGGTCTTGTTCCCAGCTTCTCCCCTCCCACCTGCTGGCAACAACATAGTCAAAAACTGGAATATTCAGGTAGAAAATGCTTCTGCTCTGAGATCAGCCACAGGCTCTACCACACCATCTTACTTACAGATCTTTGCATAGCTTGTTTGGCTCCAGAGGCATTAGGTTTGCTTCTACTCTCTTCTTGGGCCACATCATTAGCTTCTATATTGTTGAGAATTCTATCACTAAAGACATGAACTATCTCTATTTCTAAACTAATGCTAAAGATTTCCAAAATGAAAAGCTTACTGGTTTCCAGAGCTTTTGAGCGCTGACTTACATCAGACTTAAAAAAAAAAAGTCTTGAGCTGTAATACTGATATGCCTCATCACACACCCATGAAAATTTCTAAATCTTACTTCCCCTTGGAAAATTCCCCCTTAGGCTTTGGCACCTCATGACACCTTCACCCTCCCTACTTATCTCTTATCTGGAGAAACCACATGGCATTCTGCTTGGTCCTCCTGCCCTGCATTGTCTCCTTGGCCTTTTCATCCCCATCAGGCCTACAATCAACACTTTGGATCTAGTAGGCACTTAGTCATTTTTAGTGGTCAATGAACGGATTTATAAATATATCTTGGAGAAAACATATATAACACATAGTTTTGGAACTAAAGGTATAGAGGGAAAATTAATTTTGAGATAGAAGTCAGTATTTTTTTTTTGTCTTTTTGAAGCAGGGTCTCCCTTTAGCCCCAGCTGCCCTGGAACTCACTATGGAGACCAGGCTGGCCTTGAACTCACAGAGATCTGCCTGCCTCTGCCTCCGAAGTACTGGGACTACAGGCGTGCTCCACCACGCCCGGCTTGAAGTCAGTATTTTTAAAAATATTTCAGAAAGAAATCACCCCCTTCCTCTGGTAATTCTTAAATATTTCACTAATTAAAAAATTGATACGTGATTTTTTTTAGCATGAATTACATATCAGACAACTCTAATACCCCAAATTCCTCTCAATATAACATGGGAATTTAAGTGTTACTTAAATGTTTCCTCTTCAGAAAAAATGACATGAATAATTGTTTTATTATAATTTAATTTTCATAACTTTAAATTCTTTGGTGTAAAATAATCTATATTTTAAATGAATACATATCTTATAGCATACCAGTGAATCCAAGAATCTGAAATGAGCTTGAAGGGTTGGCATTGAAGACAAAGACGTTGCCTTCTGCGTTTCCGGCTAACAGATATATTCCTTGCTGGTCATAACTAGAAAAGGAAAAATCAGTGGTTAGAAGTTCTTACAGTTTGCAATTTTTAATTTTGTTATCCTTTGTGGTGCTGGGATGGAGCTGAGGCTCTTGTACATGTAAGGCAGGCTACCTATCACTAAGCTACATCCCCACCCCTATGGTTTATGATTTTAAATATTCTGTGATCTTAGAAAGGACTACATCTACATGTAGATGTGATCATTTATTTTATATTACATGCAGCTGTTCCAAATTTCAACTTATAAATGCACAATAAAAAACACTCAGTGGTAGCATGCTTGCCAGGCATACATAAGACCCTGGCTTCAATCCTAAGCACCGCAACAAAGCCAAACAAAAACCAAACAAATAAACAATAAGCAGCTTGGGAAAGACTGTTTTCAATATAAAGGAGTATAATTGGTAGAGTTTTCTTGGTGTTTCAAGTGGAAATAAGCAATTCTCAAATGAACTAGTGATGGATGTGACATTTCAGTGTCTAATAAATGCTACCTGACAGAATGGGAAGAGTTTAGTGAAATATTTCTATGAGTTCCTCAAAATAGAAAAAAATGGAAAGATAGAAATCAAAGAAGAGGTTGGTCTGAAAAAGAAGAGGCATACTCAAGACTCGGTTCAGAACAAGGATCTGGGAATGGGGCATGCGTCCCTACTGTGGAAGAAGCTGCAGACCTCAGCCAGAAAGCTTAGACTTCATGAATAAATTGGTTTCATCCCAAGGATACAAGGTAGATTCAACATATGCAGCTCAATTAATAATACATGTAAACAGACTTAAGGACAGAAATCACATAATTTTAACAGACACAGAAAAAGTGAATGTATTAATGCTCAGAATAAATGAAAATGTATAAAACTGAAAAACCATGACTTCCCCAGAGTCCTCCATAGACAGTCTTGACCATGACGTTGCCAGAGTGGGGCATGCTTACCTCAAGATCTGTATGGGCGACCGGGAGAGGAAGGTCTTGTGAATCACCTGAGGTGACTCCACCTCAAGGATGTCCAGGAAATGCACCCAGCCGTCCACAGTCCCCACGACAGCCGATGAGGAGGAAGGTGAGCAGGCCAGAGTTGTTGACTGTTTAAGATAAACCCAAGAAAATGAAGCGTGCTTTACACAAGAAACCTACTGGGTTGGGCATGTAGCTCAGGACTGGAAAGACTGGTCTTAGGCTCCAGGCCCGGATTCCATTCTCAGCCCACTTCTGCCCCAATTTTTGGAAAAGCCTGCAGAATGAGTGGCAAGTTTGCTACGGTACACAGTTACGATCAGAACCTCAACACTCCCGGGCTAACCAATTGCATAAATGACAGGAATCTGCACATTGTATTTTTTAATCCTAAAATTGGAATTATAGAATAAAAAATCTTTTTTTTTAAAACTATAGTGTCACAGGGGGACACAAGGGCCCATCTGTAGATTCTAAGTCTCATATATGAAAGCATTTAAAATTGAACTCAAACTCAAGCACAATTTTATTGGAGTTTGAGAGAGAAAATAGGGCAAGCAACCTGGAGATTTGCCCACTGCTCTAAGGAGAAAGATGGATAAGAGAGAGAAAATTACAGTGGGTGAAGGTGTGCCGATGAGCACTCAAGGGTTCTAGTTCATCAGAGCACAGCAGTCTTCCAACTCAGTGCGTGTGCGTGTGTGTGTGTGTGTGTGTGTGTGTGTGTGTGTGTGGTATGCATGCATGTGTATATGCATATCCACTTGTATGTGGGTACATATATGTGGGTGCATGTGCACATGTGTATGTGTGTGTGGAGGAGGCCAGAGGCTGACATCATGTGTCTTCCTCAATTGTTCTCCACCTTATATATTGAGTCAGAGTTTCTCACTTGAACCCAGAGATTGCGGTTTGGTTAGTCTGGCTAGGCATCTTGCCTCCCATGTATGTCTGCCTCCCATCCACTAGATTTGGGCGGTTGGAGGGGATGGTGCCACCACACCTGCCTAGCAATTATATAGGAGCTGGGAATCCAAGTTCTGGTCTTTGCTCTTTGTGATTGTATGACAAGCTTTTTATTTGCTGAGCTATCTCCCCAGCTCTTTTGAGTGGGCTTTTGTTATGGGGCCTCTGAGGCGTGTATGTGTGTATGTGTGTGTGTGTGTGTGTGTGTGTGTGTGTGTGTGTGTGTGTGTTATGCTCTCAAAATAATACATTGAAACGCTCCATTTTAGAGCAATAGTGAGATACTTTAAACAGCAGTAGCCAAGGAAATCTTATGTCCCCTCAAAGGCATCATCAAGGGAAGCTGCTGCACTTTGGGCATCTAGGCATGGTGGTGCTAGACTGGACTCCCTGGCAACCACTGCCTAAAATGTTCACAGGAAACAGTTGTGGAACAGGGAGAGTGCTCTGGCCTCAGCATCACCAGCCATGTCCAGTGATCATTTCTCTGTAGGTCAGTGGAATCCTTCAGTAAGGAAAGAGCCATGTCTCTTCCCGGCACAAGCTGAATCACTAGCATGTACCAGGCCTGGCTTGGAGCTCAGTGAAAGTTGTTGGCAAGGCCTCCTGATGGTGGCTGTACCCTTCCTTGTCAAAGAAGAACAAGGTAAGTCCTGGTTCTACAGGCCCCCAGGGGTATTGTTAGACACTTACTTGTCTATCAACTGTAAAAAGAAATGTTATCAGATTGATGTATCTCTTCTAGCTTTAGAAATTTTAACAGAATTGACACACATATGCCTTTGTCACACTGATTATGGAGTATTGGAAATGTCATGCTCTTTTAGACAAGAATTTTTATTGTTACTTTTGGGGGAGGGTATCATTTATTTTGTATATCTTGTTATATTATTATATAAGGTAAGTACTTAGTCTTTTATAACTGAGATTTTTATTTACTTATTTTTTTATTTATATGAGTGTTTTGACTGCATGTATATACGTGCACACTATGTGCATGCAGTTCCCACAGAGACCAGAAGAGGGTGTCAGATCCCCTGGAACTGGAGTTACAGATGGTTGGTACTGCCATGTGGGTGCTGGGAACTGAACCTGGGGCCTCTGCAAGAGTAGTGAGTGCTCTTAGCCACTGAATCTTCTCTCTAGACCCTATAATTGAGATTTTTAATTTATAAGAGGAAAGGATTATAACTTCCCTATCTACTAAATCCACAGCTCATCAAGAACTATTAATGCAACAAATTATAATAGAAAAAAAAAACACCCAACATTATTATTGTTGGGCCTTTACAGTTCTCCACATTATTTTGTGCAAAATGTATTGTGAATTTGGTAGATGTACTGGCATCACACTGAGGAAGGTGATGTGGGCTGCTATGGTTTGCTAGCCAGACAACTTCCTTCTAGAAAACATCTTGATTATCCACTGAGACACCAACTTCCCATAAGCTTAGGGCTCATGGGAATGAAGCTCAGGGCTGAGCTTATATCAATTAGTATTTGTCATTCTCTTATCCACAGGGACTAACAGTTTCTTAGAAGATATTTGTTAAGGCCTCTAGAAGGAGAAACTCCTGCTGCTCCCACTGTGAGAGGTTTCCTTCTTTTCTTTTTTTTTTTGGTATTTTTAAGACAGGGTCTCCCTGTAGTCCCAGCTGGCCTGGAACTCTCTATGTAGACCAGACTAGACTCGAACTCACAGACATCCACCTGCCTCTGCCTCCCGAGTGCTATATGAGCTTCTTAAACTCTAAATCTGTAAGGTGAAAAATTCAGTAGTGAGGGTTTCCACAGAACATTGAAATCTGAATATAGAAAGCTGGATACAATTAGAATCCATGTTCTAAACAGCAAGCTATCAGGTACACTTACTGGAGTTCTCAGTGAAATCTTGCTTGCACAAGTGCAATCTTCTATCGACCAAATACAAACTTCCCCTGAATTTGTGAGTGTCTGTAAAAGAAAGAAAATAAGACTGAATGGACAGTAAGACTCTCCCATCGGAGCATTCTAAATGGTTGTCTAGAGTGTCAATCTGAGGGATTAGTAAGAAGTTTTATTGTGCTTGCGCAGATTATAATTATTTTATAAATTCAACATCAATACCTATTTTCTGAAAAAAAAGTTTACCATTATCTTTTTCTTTATCCTTTTGTATATTTATTTATTCATTCATTTATTTTTGAAACAGGGTCTCATATAACGCAGGATGCACTTGACCTCTTGATCCATCTGCCTCCCTTCCAAAATGCTGGGATTCTAGGCATGTACCACCATACTTAGGCTCCTTTGTGTCTTTAAAATTATCTTTAGCGGGGCTGGAGAGATGGCCTAACAGTTAAGAACACTGAGAGCACCTCTTGCAGAGGACCCAGGTTCAATTCCCAGCACCCACATGACAGCTAATTGCCATTGGTAACTTCAGTTCCAGGGGATCTGATACCCTCTTCTGACCTCCGCAGGCATTGCATGACATGCAGACAATATACACATAAAATAAAAAAATAAATAAAATATATAAAAATTATCTTTAGGGCCAGCAATATGACTCTGGATAAAGGTGCTTGCTATTAAGCCTGATGACATGAGTTTGATCCTTGGGACTCATATGGTAGAAGACGAGAACCAACCCCCCAAAACTGTCCTCTGATGTGTGTGCCATGATGTGAGCATGCATGCACACATACATTAAGTAAATAAATGTAATTTTAAAATTTAAAAGTAAAATTATCTTTAATATGTAACACATAATAACTGGGATTAGAAAAGTGAAATAAAGATTTTTTTCCTACAGACATACTTCAAACAAAAGCTCCTTGGAAACTCAATAGAATTATTGCCTAATGACTCAGACTAGAAATAAGAAATTATACCTTGTTCTTTTTTTATATACATTGTTCCTTTTATGTTAATAGATTTTACTTTTAGACTAGTTTTAGGATTACAGAAAAGTTGAGCAGAAAGTACAGAGAATTCCCTTTTCCCTACACACACACAGTTCTGTTACTAATATCTTGCGTTGGAGTGGAACCTTTGTTATGGTTGATAATTCAATGTTGATACAGTCATTGACTAAAGTCTATAGTTCACATGAGGGCCCCTTCAATCTTTGCATTGTTCATTCTGTGGGTTTTGACAAATATGTGATGACAGGCATCCTCCATCACAGTACCACACAGAAGATAGTTTCGCTGTCTTTAAAATCCCCTGTGCTCGGTGGTCCATTTCTCCCTCCCTCCTAACCACACCCCTGGCAACCACTCATTTCACTGTCTCCATGGTTTTAGCCTCTGAAGAATATTGAATGGTTGGATTCATACAGCATGGAGCCTTAACACATGGGCTTTCTTCACTTACCACTATGCATTTAAGATTCCTCTAAATCCTTTAGTAGCCTGATAGCTTATTTTTCATTATTGAGTGATAGCACATTGTATGACAGCGCCATAGTCTATCCAGTCACCTATCAAAGGGCATCTCAGTTGTTTCTAAGTTTAGAGCATTTTGGATAAAGCTGGTATGAACATTCACTTGCAGTTTTTTTTTTTTGTTTTTTTTTCGGCTGTCCTGGAACTCACTATGTAGACTAGGCTGGCCTTGAACTCACAGAGATCCGCCTTAAAGGCGTGCGCCACCACACCCGGCTCACTTGTAGTTTTATTTTTGGATAGGATGATGTTTTTAATTCCCTTGGATAATACGTAGACGTATAGCCGTTAGAGCATATGGTGTGTGTTTAGCTTAGTAAGAAACTGCCAAACCACCTTCCAAACTGGCTACACCGTGAGCAAAGATGAGCATTTCTGTTGCTCTGCAGCACCAGCTCTCAGTGTTTCCTAGACATTCCAGCGGATGGATGGTGATGGCATCTCACTGCCTCAGCACGCAGTTTCCTAAGGATGAATCTTTCCTGCATCTTTTCACACACTCATTTCCACCTGTGTGTCTCCTTTAGCAGGGCTGTATCCACACTTTCTCTGTTTCTGACTGAGGTTGTTCATTTTCTCGCTGTGGTGCCGTAAGTGTTCTCTGTGTCTTTTGGAGGCTAGTTCTTCATTAGCTGTACTTGTTGGGGGGATTGTTTTTCTTTCAGTCTCAACTTCATCTTTTCATTCTCCTCAAAATTTTAAAAAATTTATTTTTACATTTTATGTGCATGAGTGTTTTGCCCACATGTATGTAAGTACATCCATATCCATGTTGTGCAAGGCCATGGAGGCCAGAAGGTAACAGATCCTCTGGAACCCGAGTTATATTTAAAATAAAAATAAGGGCATGGAACTTAGGGCCCTGTATATGTTAGGCAAGCCATGTACCTCTGATAAAATTAAACATTTATTTTTAATTTTTATTTATTTTTTAAAAATATTTTACTTATTTTTATGTGTATGTGTGTATTTCCTGCATGTAAGTAAGTGCACCTGTGTCATGCAATGCCAGCAGAGGACAGAAGAGACTGTCGGGTCCCCTGGGACTGGAGTTACGGACAGTCGTTAGCTGTCATATGGATGCTGGGATTCGAACCCGGGTCTTCTGCAAGAACAGTCAGTTCTTAACCATTGAGCCATCTCTCTAGCCCCTTTAATTTTTATTTTTTATGTGTATGAGTGCTTTGCCTGCATGTATGGAAGTGCACCTGTGTTGTACCATGCTTGCAGAGGCCAGAAGAGGGGGTCAGATTCCCTGGAACTGAAGTATGCTGTTATGGTTGCTAGCTGCCATGTGGGTGTTGGGAACCAAACCCAGGTCCTCTGCAATATCAGCCAGTGCTCTTCACTGCTGAGTCACCCCTCCAAGCCCCTAGATTAAAATTTAAAATTATATTTTCTGTGTGTGTGTGTGTGTGTGTGTGTGTGTGTGTGTATGTATACATGAGTGCCACACTGGGTACATGCATGAGGAGGTCAGAGAACAACTGCAGGAGTCCATTCTCTCTCCCATGTGGGTCCTCGGGCTTGAACTTGGGTGTTCGTATGTGGAGGTAAGCGCCTTTGCCCACTAAGCCAAATTGCCAGTCCTAAAATTTTTTTTTGTATGTAGATGTCTAGCTATTTCAGCACCATTTGTTGGAAAGATTGTAATATTTTCACTGCATTGTCTTTGCCCTTTTGTCAAAGATCAGTTACTGTGTTGGGTATGGTAGTGTTTACCTATAATCTCAGCAACTTGGGGGAAGTATGAAGCAATACTGCATGTTCAAGACTAGCTTGGGCGACTCAGCAAGACCTTGTCTTAAAATAAAGTTAAAAAAAAAAAAAACAAAAACAAAAAGATCAGTTGACTATATTTATGTGGGTTTATCTGGGGGTTTTGTTTTCTGCTCCGTTCATCTGTTTGTTTATTCTTTCATGAAAGCCAGGCTTTGTCATTCCAGCTTTGCACTAAGTCTTGAAGTCAGAAGGCATTGGCCTTGGTTGTGTTTCTTTCTCACTATTGTGCTGATATTTTCTTCAATGGGGTATTGAATTTTTTTCAGTGCTATACAGATTTTAGAACCAGCTAATCAATTTTCACTGATATTTTGATTGGAATTAACACTGTCTATAGACCAAATTGGGAAGAACTGACATCTTAACAATATTGAATCTTCCTGTCTATGGCAGGGTAATATCTCCCCATCTGTTAAGGTATTTTTGGAGTTCCTTTGTCAGATTTTGAAGTTTTTCTCATATAGAGCATATCTCATTTGTTAGATTTATATCTGGTTCATTTTATTGGTGCTAATGTAAATGGTATTGTGTTTTTTATTTCAAATTCCAGTTGTTCATTACTGGTATAGAAGAAAATGATTGGTATTTTTGCATGTTGAACTTTTATCCTGTAGTCTTGCTATGATTACTTAGTTCCAGGAGTGTTTTTTGATTATGATTTTTTTCTACATTAGCAAACATGTCATCTGAGAACAGAGACAGTTTTAGTCCTTCCTTCCCAGTCTGTACACCTTTTACTCATTTTTGTCTTATTGTATAAATTTGGACTTCCAGAATGATATTAAATAGTAATTTGAATGATTAAGCAAGGTGTCAGTTATCAGTATATTTTGTAGAAATTCTTTATCAAGATAAACATCTCTAGACTTCATTTTCTGAGTATTCTTATTATAAATAGGTAACAGATATCATCAAATGCTTTTCTTCAGTTAACTCATATGATAATGATCTTTCTTCTCTAGCCTGATGATGTTTAGCCTTGATATGATAGATTACAATCACCGTTGTTTTTTTATGTGAAATCAGCATTGCATGCCTGAAATAAATCATCTTTGGTCATGGTATGTAATTGGTTTTCTATGTTGCTCATATTTTGTTGAGGATTTTTGCCTGTGTAATTATGAGAGATACTGGGTAGTTCATTTGTGTTTAGCATTCCTTTTGCTTCTAATTTTTGAAAGGCACTGTGAAGAACTGGTATTATTTCTCCCTTAAATATTTAGCAGAATTTAATGGAGAACCACCTGGGCCTCACTTTTGGAATATTATTAATTATTGATTCAATTGCTTTGACATAAGCCCATTCAGACTATCTTTCTTTGAATGTGGGTTTTGGCAGACAGTGCAAAAGAATTGGTCTGTTGAAGCTAAGTTCTTTAATTTGTGGGTATAGAATCATTCATAATATTCTTTTATTTTCTAATACTTGTGGGGAGCCACGTGTGGTGGTATATACCTTCAATCCCAGCACTGGGAGGTGGTGGTGGTGGCTAAAGCAGGATTACAAGTTCAAAGTTAGTTTGGGCCATGTAATGAGATTGTCTCAAAAAAAAAAAAAAAAAAAAAAAAAAAAAAACCAAACCAACATCACACACACACACACACACACACACACACACACGGGCCATAGTTGGGAAGAACCTTTTATTTCTGGCTTTAATAATTTTCTTTAGGACTGAGCTGGTCAGTAACTCAGGGTCCTCCTGCGATAGCCTTCCAAGTATCAGGAATGTGTAGCTGTGT